CATTGTGAAGATAATTGTACAATAATAGCCCACATACAGCAGGCGGACCCCCCCGAGCCCTACAGAATATAGAGACGTTCTGTCGTTCCTAAAAGGGGTAGGTAGCTAGAACGAAACTGCACAGCTCCTCCAGCGCTGATTGCGGACGTCAACCATCCTTGAATTATTTGCAATTCCTCGAAGTAAGAAACCGACAACCAATGGAGTTGAAAGATTCTCGAGTGGCAATTCGTACCGGTAAACGAAGTGTAGGTTTACTAGTGAGGACGAAGATGCAGGTGGCTCAGGACCGTGCTTTGTGGCATTTCTTTGAGAAGACCTATGTTCAGCAGTGGATTTGTGAAAGGTTGTAATGATGAAACGATGGAAATGAAGCTATAACAGTATCTTATGATGATAACTTTATTGTAAACTAGTGAACCGCCCCGATTTCGCCCTATACGAGTGTGTGCGTGAGCACAGGTGTATTCTACTTTCTGGGACGGCAAACAGACACAACCGGAGACAGATCAGCAGCAGAACCAACGGCTTTATGTGCTTTGCAAGGTACTGGCGTAAAACACCGCCAACAGACTCCAGGCTGCTCCACTAAGAATTCCTCGACAGGAAAACGCAATAACTGAATTTCCCCAGGGTAGGATTTATTAATATATCGTTTTTTGATTTATTATATAAATTTTTTGAAATCTTTAAGTTTTTGGATAAAATATAGCCCAGATCACACTTCGCATTGCTCTCTATCTGTTCGTGAAGCTTCGTTGCAATCATTTCAGCTATTCTGAAGAATAGCCAGACGGACAAAATTTAAAAACGATGGTTATTTATATCTTAATGGCACGCAAATAATCTCTCAACTTATGGCAGTTATATCAACATTACCAGCGTAAAATAGCAGCCTGATACTGCTGCATTCCGTATGCTGAGTGTGGAGAAACGAAGACCCTTTTTACTGGAAACGAGGCATTACATCTTAATCCTCAGCGGTGACAACGCATAGCCTGCATTTTGATTCTTAATCGAGGATGAATGTGGACCGTGCGCTTGTCTGTCACACTTATCATATAAACTTATTTTTTATATTGTGTATAGATTTCTAAGGTAAAGATCTTATGACGTTTCTTTTACTTCCTGTTTATGATCTAATTAAAACGTGTAATAAAAGTTTTATCAGCTTTACATAAATCTAACGTTCAATATTGATATTCTTTAAAATTGTTGGTTCATTAACCCTAATATACATCCACGTGTTGTTAGTACAGAAGATAAAGTCAAGGGACGATAACATCTTTAGTAATATTTCAAAATCTATTGTAATTTCATATAAACAAATTTGCGGCGGCCATCTTACCGTGTAGATGTCGTTGAACTTGACAGTCAAAAGTTCATTCATTATATAATATCTAAATTTTCTTACTTATTAGTATTTTTCGAATAATGTCCTCCAGACCGAATTTTTGTCACGCATCTGCGCAGGAAAGGGTTATAGTGCAAGAGTGCACAGAGAGTGCAAACGTGCGCTTTCTGTTCACTGACATTCACATGACTCATAGTAGTGGGACGGAATCTGACACGACTGAAGAGAGATCAGGTGCAGAACGACAGGTCAAATAATACCGCCGAATTTCTGACTCATAGCAGTGGGATGGAATCTGACACGACCGAAGAGAGATCAGATGCAGAACTACAGGTCAAATAATACCGCCGAATTTCTGACTCATAGTAGTGAGACGGAATCTGACACGACTGAAGAGAGATCAGATGCAGAACTACAGGTCAAATAATACCGCCGAATTTCTGACTCATAGTAGTGAGACGGAATCTGACACGACTGAAGAGAGATCAGATGCAGAACGACAGGTCAAATAATACCGCCGAATTTCTGACTCATAGTAGTGAGACGGAATCTGACACGACTGAAGAGAGATCAGATGCAGAACTACAGGTCAAATAATACCGCCGAATTTCTGACTCATAGTAGTGAGACGGAATCTGACACGACTGAAGAGAGATCAGATGCAGAACGACAGGTCAAATAATACCGCCGAATTTCTGACTCATAGCAGTGGGATGGAATCTGACACGACCGAAGAGAGATCAGATGCAGAACTACAGGTCAAATAATACCGCCGAATTTCTGACTCATAGTAGTGAGACGGAATCTGACACGACTGAAGAGAGATCAGATGCAGAACTACAGGTCAAATAATACCGCCGAATTTCTGACTCATAGTAGTGAGACGGAATCTGACACGACTGAAGAGAGATCAGATGCAGAACGACAGGTCAAATAATACCGCCGAATTTCTGACTCATAGTAGTGAGACGGAATCTGACACGACTGAAGAGAGATCAGATGCAGAACTACAGGTCAAATAATACCGCCGAATTTCTGACTCATAGTAGTGAGACGGAATCTGACACGACTGAAGAGAGATCAGATGCAGAACGACAGGTCAAATAATACCGCCGAATTTCTGACTCATAGCAGTGGGATGGAATCTGACACGACTGAAGAGAGATCAGATGCAGAACTACAGGTCAAATAACACCGCCGAATTTCTGACTCATAGTAGTGAGACGGAATCTGACACGACTGAAGAGAGATCAGATGCAGAACGACAGGTCAAATAATACCGCCGAATTTCTGACTCATAGCAGTGGGATGGAATCTGACACGACTGAAGAGAGATCAGATGCAGAACGACAGGTCAAATAATACCGTCGAATTTCTGACTCATAGCAGTGGGATGGAATCTGACACGACTGAAGAGAGATCAGATGCAGAACTACAGGTCAAATAATACCGCCGAATTTCTGACTCATAGTAGTGAGACGGAATCTGACACGACTGAAGAGAGATCAGATGCAGAACGACAGGTCAAATAATACCGCCGAATTTCTGACTCATAGTAGTGGGACGGAATCTGACACGACTGAAGAGAGATCAGGTGCAGAACGACAGGTCAAATAATACCGTCGAATTTCTGACTCCAGGCTGCTTCCAAGCATTACTTTATAACACCCAATAACTGATTTTGGCCCAATCCGGAAGCAAATTTATGGATGATAATAACCCCTCGTAATGAAATGATTACTACCAAGCTATTTCGAAGTAGTTAATTGGAAAACATAATATAATTGTAAATTGTTCTTAAAAAAATATCCACAGGGTTTTTCGACAAGTAGAGTAGCGAGTATAATTACAGGGAAGCTTGACAGTAAACGATTAAGTGGATATTAGTAGCGTATAATTATCTTCGTGGTGCGTTTAATTAAAAAAAATTATATTTTTAAGGTCGAACGCGAACACGTTGCGTCCTGTCAACTTATGCACTGAACTAAACCACTAAACTAGCTCGTTCACGCGAGCGGCGTTTTTTTTATAGGTAAAGGGTGATAAGTGTGCACACAGTCCACCTGATGGTGAGTGGTTGCTGTGGCCCATAGACATTACATCTATCCTCGTTTGCGAATCAAAATGAATATGCGTTGTCAGCCTTGAGGGCTAAGATGGAATGTTTGAACCGATTGTAACGAAACCCCACGGATTAAAATCAATGCCAGGAGTGATCTAGGCTATATTACATTAAAATATCTTGGGAATAAAACGAAAAATTGATCATCTCAAATCTGAGCTACTCTACATTAATAGATTTTACGCAGGTGAAGACCGGGCGAGTTACATAAAAAAGTATGCTATGAGTATAAACTAGTCAACGATGGGGCGCGGCGTCATAATCCAATTATATTAAAGTATGTAAATCCAAGTCGGGCTGTTTCCTTGCGAGCTCCAGCAAATAGCATTCCTTGGCAGGTTAATGGTCAAACTAGACCGGTGTTAGAGCTCGTCGTGTACGGTGTTCCAATTTTGTTTTTCTCCTAGGCCAGGCGTGTTCAATCTATTTGGTTTCGTTTTGCATTGGCAGTTATATATTTAATACCATTTTATGTTACAACTAGCGACGTATCCCGGTTTCTCCTTCTGTAACAGACGAGCATGCAGCTCAACTCATGGTAAGTCGATGCTGTAGCCCATAGACATCTACATCTATCCTTAATTAAGAATCAAAATGTAGATGCAATGTCACCCTTGACAAAAATCCTTTCAACAAAGTATAACAGTGTGTTACCTTTTTCACTTCTTTGTCTTCCTGTATTTTATTCATTATTCGCATAAACATGGATACAGAGTATTTTAATCAAAATATTGAAAGTTCAACCTAGTTTGATGTGTGTTTATACACAAAATGCACAATATGCTCGTGCATTATATTGCGGTGTTTTTGGGAGATTTTGACGACAGCTTAACTCAGCGGACAGTTGAGGACGATTACATCTCAAGTCGCCCAAGTATTGTATCACCATCGAAGCAATAGCAGCATTGTTCCCACTAATACTTCACATGCACAGACATTTCATATTAATACACAAAATCACGCCACTTTGCACACCTACTGCAATCCAGTAAATAAACGATAACACGGATGCAATATTAGAAACAACATCCGTCAGCGGTAGGATTGCTAGCGCCTGTTTTATGTTATAGGGGATTTTATTAGTTTAATAAGGGACATAGAATGAAAATAGAGCATATCATATTGTTTTCAATAAAATACTGTATCTATGACAATATTTATTAATAAAAAAACAATGTTGTTACCATGGAATCTTTGAGTATGTTGGTTGAATACTCAAAGCATAGAATAAAATATTATAGTATTCTATGGTTGTTGCGCAACGAGACGTAGTTTGTCTTTCTAATATCGCGCGTGGCCTCAAAGTAATTTCTGATCTCTTTGAACACAACTTGTTCCCTATTAGAGATTTCTCTTCCTTTTCTTTTTTTATTTTATAATGTGGCTCTATAAATTAAGGAGCAGGATCAATTTTTGGATCTGAAATAGAGGACGTCCTTTAATATAAAGGACGTTTGGCAAACCTAGTCGGCGGTCAATTTCCCACCTGTAAATTTTGTGTATAGTAACATCGAGAGGTATTACCTGCTGCATTTTGTCGAAGTCGAGCGCGGGCCGATGGCGACGCGGCGGTGGAAGAGCAACGCGACGGCGCCGAGGGGACGCGCTGCCCTCCCCGCTGCCCGCCCCGCTGCCCGCTGCACTACCAGCCACCGCCACAGTACCCACCCCGCCCGCACGCCGAGGCTTGAGCGCCTCGAGCGGGGGCGACGTGCGGAAACGCACTGGAGTCTCAACCTGGAACGGACACAGAGTGCTTCTCTACAATAAGGGTAACAAACGAGCACACAAGCACTGATTGCAAGTGGATGCTGTGGCCCAAAACATTTATTTACATTTACCTCGTTAATAATGTAATGCCTCGTTTTCAGTAAAAAAGGCCTCTCTTTATTGCAATAAAAATTATTCTCCTATAATTACCTATCCTCTTTATACGTTCACTCTCATAGTCCGATGGGACGTCCATCCGACACGACATGAGATCAGACGCAGACTCCCGACTCCGGGCTGCTATTGAGAATTTATTAATGGAAAAACTCAATATTGTTTGACAGTGCAAAACTGTATAAAAAATATAAAAGAAACAAAAACATTATCTCTATTTAAAAACTTATTGAAACGCCATATTTTGGAAAATTAACCAAAAAAAAACGCACCCTTATTTCTGTTTCGGTGGCATTAATTGTTCGGTCATTACATTTGTGCGCGATGTTCAAACCTATGTTTACCGTTCTTTTAATTATTTACGTTTTACCCACATCTATAGCTGTATGCTCGTAATGGATTCCTTTATTTTTTGTAAATTTTTAATTTATCGTAAGCGATTTGTAATCTTTTGAGAAACAAATTATATCTTAAACTTAAACCTAAGTAATTTCTTTTGATCCGAGCCGTCATCTCTCACATCATCGCACATAGTCCTCTATTACATAGTCATCTACATACTTAGCGGTTCACTACTGTACGGTTTTCAGAAATTGCCTTCCCCGACACAAAATTATGAAACGCGCTATCACCGCCAATTGCCAAGACCGATACTACTTAAGAACGTTCAAGAAAAGAGCCTAATACTCCTTTTTAAAAGGTCGACAAATCACCTGTAAATCTTCTGGTCTTGTAATTATTCATGTGCAGCGGTAGTCAACTGCCATTAGGTGAGCCGCTTCATCATTTATCTACTTTACTACAAAAAACGTATTTCGGCAGTCGAGTATTATTGCTGATTTTACTTTAATAGAAGAGAGGGCAGACAATGTTTTATAGAGAAGGGTGAGTGAGTACCGCCGCAAATGAACAGCTGCAATAATTACAGCTGCAGGAATTACAGCTGCGTTGCGTTTTAGAAAGGAGTAAGCTGTCTTGAACTCTTTTTCGGTTTGAAGGGTAACTGAGAGTCAGTATAGTAACAGATGTTAATGAATATTATCCGAGTCGGTGGGCTACAGGACGTACGGTATCCCAAACCCATATCATGCCGTGCATAACGTAAGAGGCAGCTAGTGGGAAATACCATTAATTACATTACTGCAGGCGTAATTACCGACACCGGGGTTGGCTATAAAGGTCCTGTACTTGATTTTAATAATGGTTTTAGTTTAGGAGGATTGTTAGGGTTAAGCTTGAATCTATTACACTGTTTTTAGATGTCGGAAATGTGTTTTGAATTAATTACGATAAAAATAAATTTATAAAAAATAAGTCTTATAAAAGAAACTGATGGAAAAATTTGGGATGTGCAAGCGGGATTTAGAAAGGGAACATTAAAAGAAAGGGGAATGAAAGAGAACACAAGTAAGATGAAATTTATGGTTTTTCTAAAGAGAAGTAAAAAAAGTCGTACTTAAACGAATAATAACTTACCATACGTTAAAGTAGTACTTTATACAGTTATGCATGATGTAGTTAAGTTGGGTGTGGCAGAAGAAGCCCGAGAGTAGATTAAACGCAATAGAAATGCGGTCGTTAAGGAGTATGTTAGAGCTGAATCTGAATGATAGGGTGCGAAATTGTGTCATAAGAGAAGAGTGTGGTTTGCAAGATGATGTTGTGACCAGGATTAAGAAAGGAATGCTTTGGTGGTTTGGTCATGTGGAGAGAATGAATGAGGAAAGAGTGACAAAGCAAATATATGTCGCAGAAGTGAATGGAAGAGTCGCAAAGGGACGTCCCAGGCGAAAATTTTTCGACCAAATTAACGATTTATTGAAACGGGCCAAATTAGGAGTACCACGACCATGTATGCGTAGGTATATGGACTTGAAGGAGGCGAGAGAGGTGTGTCAGGATTGTGCCAAATGGAAGTCTGTAGTATCTGCCTACCCCTCTGGATGACAGGCGTGAGTGTTTTTTTATTTATTTTTTTAAGAAAGTAAAAACAAAATTACAGAAAACAAAACTATAACAATTCACATTACATTGTTTATTTACCACTATCATAGTAGAGTTTAAGGCAACCTGACTTCATATATACGATTGGCCGAATCTGTTCTAAAACCGAATCAGCACGCCCCGACTCTACGTTGTCTTGTCTGCCCTACCTCTAGTGTTTTTGTAAAGCCGTAGGCGCGGAGGGAGAATTATAACGAGCGACCTAGCAAAAGTAAATTACTTCTGTAAACATGGCAAAGTTACTTCTGCAAACACTGAAAACCAGCGACAGCATAAGCTGGGTGAGGTCCGTTTGTATGACGCGCCACAACATACTCGTACAATATGAGAAACGATTTTTTTGTCTTTCTATTTTTTTAAATTATAATCTATAAGTATACAGTATATACATACTTTTAAATTATTTTATCCGTCAAATTGTTGTTTTGTTTCCCATTTTTGTCTTTGTTTGTTATAATGTTTATAACTGATGTGTCCACAAATGTTATAATTTAAGTGCCTACTGATGTGTGTGGCGTGCTGCAACAAATCTTTCTTTCTTTCTTCTTTTCTTTCTAAACATAGCAAAATTACTTCTGTAAAAGTTTCGGCGCTGCGAGAGCAGCCCCCGCCCGCCGCAGCAAAGCGCAGGTGCCCAGCGTCGAAGCTGTTAAAAAAGTAACTTGGTATGTATCTTGGTGGTATCTGTAGCTCATCTCATCTGCTCCCATTTCGAAATTAAAGTGCAGATTCGTTGTCACACCAAGACTATGCTGGAATGCTTCATTTCCAGTAAACAGGTTCTCCGTTCCTCATTTTACGCTGGTATTCTATGAGAGCGTAGTACTTCCCCGGTCGAGTCGACTTATTAGTGCTACAACCTTAATGTAGCATGGCTCTACCACGTATCCGTTACCGTTACAGCCTATTAAAGTCTACTGCTGAACACTGACCTCCCCCATAGTTACCTCATAGGGAGGATATTTGCCACAGTTGCCACGCTGGACAAGCGGGTTGGCAACCGCAGTTTTTATTTTTAGTCGTTATTCACCCATCTCCTGATTTGTTTCCCTCTACCACGCGTACTTGAACTTGATCGTTGAATACATCTTGAATACATCTTGAATACTTCGGATATCAATCAAACGAAAAAAAATACTCATGTTCTTCTGACAAAAGCTCAGTCAGCCATGACAATTATGGCGAATTCTCCCAACAAGCGTGGGAAGGTCCCATATACGGTGTGCGGATACCACAGCCTAGGCAGGACTATTACATCAAACGACAGCAAATAGATTTAAATTCCCGCTGCCGGCGTATGTGGAGTGGTATCGTCAAACAAGGTTCCTCTTTGTAAATATTATAAAGTATGTGTTATCATTACTTCATAAAGAATTTTACTTAGCCAAGCTTAAACAAGCTGTAAATTCATTCTTTAAATTTTGTAAAACGGCACCGTGTAGACTCGTGTGAAATGTAGCTAGACGTTATCCACAGAATCCATAAAAGTGAACCTTATGTTAAACTTCTTTTAACCGACTTTAAACAAGGAAGATTATCTGTTTCTTCTGTATATGTGCCCGATTATTTAAGAAAGTACACAACCGATCTTTATGATAATTTAATTTTTTTTAATTTATAGTTGTTATATCTCGCGGCACGTAACTTTAGTGCTGAACGAAACGTGGAGAGGATAGCTGCGAATGTCATATCAATACTGGGAACGGGGACGGAATGCGACTGGAGAACCAATCAGCGCGTGCGAACAATACACACAGCCATCATACGCAATGATGTTGTAATACGGCTAATTAAGCGCAATAACGGTAACCGCTAGACTTTCGTGCCGCGAATTGTATATAAGTTGGTTCCTATAAAAAACAATTTCAATCAAGTTATAAAAGATTTTACAACATTTTTAGTAACTCGCTTTCATGTATGTCTGTCCGGGTGCAATTTGTTAATTGATTTTAAAACTTCCCGATGAGCTTAGTACAGAATTTTATGACAATACTTATAAGAATATGAAACATGTGGTATGTCAAAAAATTTAAATAATTTTGATAAATTGCATTTGCTTCTTATTAAAAAGAATATTAGTAATGCAAGTAATAATACTTCTTTTAATCACTTCAAGTAAAGCTCAAAATGCTTGAGTTAAAATTGGTTTACGACAGTAGTCACAGGGTTGAAGGAAATGGGGTAAAGGCGAGTGGATGGTGGTACCTTTGTGTCGTCATCGTCGGAGGACGGTGGCCGTGCGGCCAGTTCATCTGCGTCTAAGTAGGGCTGTGCCGCCCAGCGTCGTTTCTCGGGCGCAGCAAGGGCGGGCGACGAGGCCCCGCGCCGCCGCCCCTCCGCACGCACCGACCCCGCTCCCGCTACTGCTCCTCCTCCACTTGGCCCGCCGTTGATAACCTGCACCACGCCATGTTTTTATAGAATAAGGGTGACGAATGAGCACAGAGCCAAAAGTGATGGTAAGTGATGGTAAGTCGGTGCTTTGGCTCATACACATTAGGCACGTGCGTTTTCAGCTTAGCTGGACTTTTTAAGGGCTACACTAGTAATATTAACAGCTTTGTGATTTCTTAAATTAATTTACGCGAGGAGTTTAATGAAACGGTTTTTTTAATAAGGGTGACAAACAAGCCCACAGTCTACCTGATGAAAATGGATGCTGTGGGCCATAGACCTCTATATCTATCATAATAATATAAATATCATCATCATATCATGAGAATATCCACTACCCCGTATCGTCCCGTGGGTGTCGTGAGAGGCGACAGGGGTAACAAACCAGGAGATGGGCAGCAGCGTCTTCCCAATAACGCCAAGCGTAGCAACTGGCAACTTTCTCCACTAAGAGGTAACCTATGAGGGAGGCCTATGTTCAGCAGTGATCTTTAAGGGCTATTACGCACTGTCGACTAGTCGCCGGCGACTCAGTTGTCGACGACTGTAATATTGTATAGTTTAAATAGGTGTTTACGCACTAGTCACCGGTTGCCCGGGCGACTCGGCGACTCCCCGCGCAGTGGCGACGCACAGGCAACTGCCGGTCGCCGGCGACCAATAGGAGCACGGTTTCAAATGAAAGCATTCACACTGCGAGCAACTGTCGTAACGACCGTACGGCCGCGCACAATGAGTTTTGACACGGATAAATTTATATCGGAAATACAATCCCGAAAAGCTATTTGGGATTTACAAAGTGAGGAATATGCTAATCGAGATTTGAAGAAAAAACAGTGGGAAGAAATAGTGGAGTTATTTGGAGGTGAAGAATTATCAGACGAAGAAAAAAAAACTCAGGTAAGTAAGAAATGCCATTTATTTTTTATTAATTAATACTGCTCATCTGCCAAGATAATTGACCCTCAGTTGTAAAGTAATCAGCAAATACATCTCTGTATGATGCACCACGTCGCGTAGCTCTTTGGAAACCGTTTGGGACTTCTTCAAAGCCAGGAATGCTCAGGGTATCTTCAAATTTATATCCGTCTCTTTCTCGGACATAGTTGTGAAGAGCGCAACATGTTTTGATGATGCATGATACTAGATCTAAATTCACGTTGATAGGTCTGTGAAAAATCTGCCACTTGTTTGCTAATATGCCGAATGAACATTCAATATGGCGTCGTGCACGAGAAAGCCTATAATTAAATATTTTTTTCTTTGTTGTTAAATTTGATCCACCGAACGGTCGCATAATTTTGTCAGTTTGTCCAAATGCTTCGTCACCCACAATAACAAACGGTACTGGTATAGGGTTTGTCGACGAAATGGGCTTAGGTTCGGGTATTTGCAAATCATTGTTCATTAGCTTTTGATAAAACGTTGAATTTGTAAATATAGTTGAATCGCAATCCTTTCCATAGGAACCAACGTCTATGTATATGAACTTATAGTCAGAGTCACAAATGGCAAGCAAAATTACAGAAAAGAAGTGTTTGTAATTATAACACAATGATCCACTGTTGTATGGTTTTATAATTCTTACATGCTTACCATCTACGGCACCTATGCAATTTGGAAAATTGGCCCGTAAATGAAAATCTTTTGCGATTTTTAACCAATTTTCTTTTGTCGGTTGCGGTAAACACATGTCTTTTAGTACAACCCATATAAAATGACAAACTTCTCTTATTATTTCAGCTATAGTTGAAATCCCAAGTCTGTATGAGTAATGTAAATCTACAAATTTACAACCGCTTCCAAGATATCTGGAATTAAAAAATAATTTAAATATATACATTATTTACAGGTCATTCACTTCAAAAGAAATGGAAAAATATAAGAAGCTGCTTTTCGCGAGAAGTACGAAGATTAAAAAATACTAAAAGCGGATCTGCTGCTTCCCATAAAACTCCCTATATTTATTATAATCAGCTGTTATTTTTGAAGAATACCGTTGGTAATTTGAACACAGAGAGTAACATTGCTGAACAAGAACATTTGACAAATGATCAAGAACCTTTAGGACCTTACTCGAGAGAAAATATAGTCGGAAGAAAAAAGAAAAAAACGTCAGATGATGACACAAGCGAACTGTTAACCACATTAAACAAGTGTATTGAAACTCGCAAAAATAAGGAGGATATTTTGGAACAAGATGAGGACAGAATGTTCCTGATGTCCCTATTATCATCATTTAGGGCAATTCCGGAGCACAAAAAGTCGGCTGCGAAAATTCAATTAATCAGTGTAATCGAATCATTCCGATCCTCTACTCAAAATAATATATATCCAAACACAATGTGGCGAAATTTTAATGAGTACGAGTATGAGCGTGGTTACTTCACACCGGAGGCCGGGCGTTCAACAGCACCAAGTCAACAATCACGCCCTGAAGCACAACATTATTATACGCTACCAACTTCAACTCCTTCAGAACGTGAACGCCCAGAGTCGCGATTTTCTACTGTCACTTCAAATACCTCGCAAGATTCTGACATTTTGGATCTATTTTGAATATTTCCTTTTGTTGTGCGTTCGTTTATAATATTGATTTCATTAAGTACTTTAAAAAAATACATGTTTTATAATTATTTACCGTATATTTTTAAATTATGTCATCGAAGAGTTGACTTACAGATAGTACCATCCACGAAGACGCGCCCCACTCTTTATTCAAATGCATGTGTGCTATCTTCCGCATGTGTTAAACATCTGTCGATACACGCTAATTATCGATGAATGCAAACGCACACTAATAGAAATTGACTAATCAGGAAAGAGTATTATGAACAGCACGAAAGATGCTCTATTTAAATTTAATCGCGCATCTTCGTGGATGGCATTATCTGTAACTCTAAAGACACTCCCGGACACATCTATCGGCCCACCTTGAGTTTTAAGTTTTGACTGGAGACCAGCTAAAAATAAATGTTAGGAGGAGCAATAAGTTTTTGCAGGTGTGAAGCTGATTTACTGGCCATCGTTTTCGTAAAAAACTGCATAAAAACTTATTGCACCACTTAACATTTATTTTTAGCTAGGGATTGTCAACACTTTAAACACTAGGTTTGGCCGATAGATGTGTCCGGGAATGTAATGTAAATTGTGTTAAAATCCCGTAAAAAATAAATGTTAGGAATGAATTTTATTTGAATTGTCACTTACCTTAGTGTTATAAAAAGTTTTTCTTCCGGAGAAATACATGGTCGCATATTTGTATCTATGCCAGTTATATGTGGTTTTAGAAGACACAATAAGACATCAAACGAACTCACAGACATTCTTGCATAATTAAAAAATTTACGAGGATATTTTCTAACGTCTTCATAAAATATTTTAAACATTCCCTTTGACCTCCGTTCTTCTAACAAAGGATGCACCCAATACTCTTTTGATTTTTTTTTATTTGTCTTTCTTTTTTATAATTAGTAGCGCCGCTACTATTGCAAGTTCTTCAACGTCCATTCTGCACGAATGTACTTGGAATACTGTCTTCATGTAATTTCCCATGTTTCGGTCGCCGAGGGACTGAGTCGCCGGCGACTAGTCGACAGTGCGTAATAGCCCTAATAGACTGTAGTGGTAACGTGTGTGGTGGCGTGGTGGGCGTCTTAACTTTATGGCTTCCGATAAATAGCAATATAATCATCTCGTTACGCTAGACGTAAGGACAGGGTTATAGTAGCCAAGTGCATGCGCAAGCACAGGTGGGCTCTCGACTTCCTTACTCTCATAGTTCGATGAGACGTATCTCTGTAGCCTAATGGTAGACTGGCAGAGAATCCCTATGGCATTAAGTTCGCCATAATATGTACAACTTTGTGCATTAAAGTATTAATTAATAAATAGCTGACGTTGACAACTCCTGACAAAAATTTTCCATACAACATCAGAGGCTTCTGCCGTTTTATGGGTTTTAGTGTTCCGTGCCAAATTTAGCAAAACGGAACATTTACGGAATCATTTCGATGTCTGTCTGTCCGGCAAGTAAGTTTTTCTCCGGAAGTGTTCGTGTAGCATTATGATTGTAATTTAGCAGATAGATACATGTATATAATGAATATTAATTCTATCATAAGAATAATAACATCTGATTTATCTGACTTTTGTTTTTCTCTCTCTTTCGCTTTTTAAGTAATATTTTGTATATGTACGGTATAGTACGGTATATGTACGGCGTATACGTATTGTATATGTATTTGATGATTTGTATATGTATGTATATGTTTTGTATATGTATCCCGTGTTATATATATTATTTTTGTATAAACTTATTTTATTTATTTAAGAATTTGTATATAAGTATATGTTTTTATATTCATGATTAAGTATATAGATATTAATGATGAATATTTTTTACTAATTATATCCCATTTATTTGCATTTAGTTGTGCCTTTTACCTTTAGTACTTATTTATTAAATTAATGAACACCTGCCACAGTTTCTCAAATGATATAGGATTGACTGGTAGAGAATTTCATCACGCATTAAGTCCGTCCTTTAAATCCCTTATTATAAGGTGTAGAATAAAAACTAAATAAAAAAATAAACATAAAACTAAGTCTAAATATAGACTTGAGCTTAGAATAATTGACTTAAGAGGTTAGTTTGTCCACTATGAAAAGTGAGTTTAAAAAAGAAAATATTTTGAAAGCACCAAAGAGTTTCAAAATATACAATTCATCACAAGCTGCTCTACATAAGCAGCTTTATGTATTGTATTGACCAGCATATTGACATATTGACCATTACAAAGTACGATCCTGAGCCACCTGCATACAGTCAACTAACTACCTGCATGCTTTATCAGATTGTCACTCTATCTAGCGGAGTAAACTAAACTACTCTTGTAATCTCCCGTGACCAAGCGTGCTGCAAATTACCCAAAACGTTGGTTATAAAAATAATCGAAATTAAACACGATAAAATCCCAAAAAATAAATTTATTCAATGTATT